GAATTGATAGAAAATAAAATTTTCTATACAATTTGATGGACTCTTAGTTTACATCATAATTCATATTCTTATTATATATTTTCTTTTAAGAGAAGGAGCTAGGAGTAATGTGTAGAATTTGTATATCCTGCGACAGCAATCGCAATCCAACTTTTGGAATCCAACTAATACGCTACGGACAGAAGTAGTAGCCCCCATTATCTGTGGAAAGTGGGAATTAATTTGCATGAATCCAAATTTAGTATTCGTACTACTACTACAAAAAAAAGGTAGTGGAAATTGATGGCTAACGTCATTACGCACAACAAGGTTTACTGGGAAACGTAATTTGGGCTTTATGGGCTTGAAAAAGCTGGGCTGACACACGTTCTGTATACCTTTGCAGCCCCACTAGACCGGACCACCCCCTGATTGTTACTTCTAAATTCTTATTGGCCCACGTGGCATTTCTATGGGCTCCACGAGAAAGAGGTGGTTGGCCGTTTCTCTCGGTGGCAGAAAATAAAATCAGTTTGCAGTGTCTGATTTTCAAAATTCAAGGCCGTGCACAACTCATCTACTCATTTACAGTAACAAACAAAACAAAAAGGTGTTTAAGTAGAAACAGAAACGAGTCCCAATATCAAATTCATTATAAGATCCGTGAAACAGACACTCGGCTCATTTCGGAAACAGATTCTACACTATTCTTCCCAAATTCCATTAATAAAATTTTACTTAGCTATTGTTGTTATTATATCCGTGAAAGTTATTGCATATTATCAGGACCAATTCAATATTTATCAAATTCTTAAGTATTTACTTTTTCTCACATATCTTTTTTTGTTTGTCCTACGAATATATCATTTGTCTATATTTAAAAATAATATAATTTTAAAATTCTCATTTTATACGTTATTAGATGATTTAAAATTGCACTAAGACTTTATTTTTGCATCACAAGTTTTAAAAAAGTTTATTAAATCGTGCCCAATTAACTAGTTCCAAGTAAATTGAAATGGAGGGAGAGAGTAGTTGCATAAGCTATTTATTTCATGACTTCGAACTACATTTTCAAAATAATTTACAATCACAGCCACTATCAAAATTTACATCACCTTTTGCTTATCAGCAAAGAAAATACAAAAAGGAGAGAGATATTTAAGCAGGTGAGTCTGTATTCTGTAGCTTTAATAGAGTTGGGCAAAATTACTACTAGTGGATTGCTGTTAGAAACCACTTTCATATGACAGGCTTGGGCAGAAGAGGAAAGAGACAGATCTAACTAAGATAAGAAGTGTAATAGTATAAGATTTAGAGTTGGGGAATTAATTAATGAAGACATGGATTTCTGGCCAGAGTTTCTAGCAAGCAGTTGGGGCAAAGAATTTGTGGCTGGTGGATTTGGAGGAATAGCTGGTATCGTATCTGGATATCCCCTTGACACTGTCAGAGTCCGTCAACAGAATTCTACACAAAAAGGTTCTGCTTTCAGAATCCTCCGCCATGTCGCCGTTACTGAAGGTCCCTTGTCTCTCTACAGAGGCATGGCTGCTCCTCTCGCTTCTGTCACCTTTCAGGTCATTTCTTCTTCTTCTTCTTCTTTCCCTTTCTTTTTTTCCTTCTATAAACGCACACAATCATGTTAAACTTTATTTATTAGCAAATGAGTCGATATATAGAGCGGAATGAATATTGTTGCTTCGTCTTTGAGATTGAGGCGTTGTTAGTGATCGGTTAATCCCACTTTTTTAGGTCTCTCTTCCTACTTCCTAGTTAGTCCTGTCACCGGCCCAAGTTACGGAGTCGAGCTTTTTTTTTGGTAAAATTCTGTCACTATCACTAAAAGCAATACGTCGTTAAGGATTGACATGGATATTACGTGGTGGATGCGTACTCTATTTTTTACCTACCAAACAAAGAGACAGAGACTTTAGGGCCCTCAAATGGAGCTGTTGCGTTCACGGAACTAAAACTAAACTAGGGGTGTTTGGATGGGCTTTTAAGTTGGTTAAATCAACTTTCAAGTTATTTTTAGCTTTTTTAATATTTGGCAGAGTTAAAAAGTGCTTAAATTAAGTTTAAAACAACGTAAAACAAGCAACACAACTTATTATTTTTGGCTTTAAAGCTATTTCTATTGAAAAATCACTTTTTTAAGTCCATCCAAACAGACTCTAATAGTCTGATTAACTGGAGCTTCTTTTTTGACAAAAGTTATTTTTTTTGTTAAAAGTACTTTTTCCCAAAGTTTCGGTCAATATTTTAGACGGGGAAAAAATAATTTTAAGTACAAGCAGAATCCGTTTTTGATAAGCTGAAAATAAATAATTTTTGACAAATATTTTTGAGAAAAATATATTCCCTTAAAAGCATTTTTTTAAAGTTTTGGTCAAATAAGAATTGCCGCTCAAAAACACTTTTCAAATTGATTAACAAAACACAAACTATCTTTCGTCAAAATTATTTTTTTGAAAAACACTTTTTAAAAAAAGCTGAAAAACAAGCTATAAACTTCTAAAAAAACAATAATAGTAACTAAGACATTTATTGGCACATTAGACTTTCCTTAGTTCACATGTCAACTTTAGTGATAACTAATGGTCACTATTAAATCTCAGAATTTAGAGACCAGGAGTTCCCTCTTCCCCATTATTTTGCTAAATTTAAGAATAAACTCTCGTTCCTACTACGATTTGTTAATGTTTCATCAATTGTTTGTTGACTTTCACGTGTGGATTTGGTGGAGTCTTAGTCATCAACTCATTATCCGTTCATGCTTCTTATCCATTTGGGGAAGAAAAAAGGGAGCTAGTAATTGTTATTTTGGAGGGAAAAGGATAGAGTTCAGGCGTGTATTAAGATTAAGACGTATTATTGAGTAAGATCAAGGATCAACATGATAAGTATTGAACTTTAGAATTCTAAAATATACAGCCGTTGACACATTTTTCAATAGCATCTTTCCTATATCATCCACTCTCTAGTCAGTGAAGGCGCGCTACCATTTTTTATTCACTTCTTAGCGAGTCCATTATCTAGAGGACATAGAGTGGTTATTGTTTAAAAATTTGATCTTCCTAAGTTATTCTTAATCGTTGTCTAAATATTTCATGAATAGAAGTTACATCTTGATTTCTACAATTATGTAAATTAGTTTCCTTGCTAGTGCAGAATGCCATGGTATTTCAGATTTATGCAGTGCTATCGCGAGCATTTGACAGGAATGTTCCAGCCAGTGACCCACCCTCCTATAAAGGAGTAGCCTTAGGTGGATTTGGAACAGGAGCAATACAAAGCCTAATGCTCACTCCTGTCGAATTGGTGAAAATTCGACTTCAGTTGCAAAGGAGAAATAGCCCTGATAACAAAAATCAAATAACTAGTTATAAGGGTCCAACAGATGTTGCAAGAAGCATATTCAAACAAGAAGGTTGGAAAGGAATTTACCGCGGATTAACAATTACAGTACTCAGAGATGCACCAGCTCATGGCTTATACTTTTGGACGTACGAGTATGTGAGAGAGCAACTTCATCCAGGATGTCGTAAGAATGGTCAAGAGAGTTTTAGAACAATGCTTATAGCAGGTGGTCTAGCAGGTGTTGCTAGTTGGATAAGTTGCTATCCTGTTGATGTTATTAAAACCAGATTGCAAGCTCAGTCACAATCTACACCCTCAAGATATTCTGGCATTGTTGATTGCTTCAGGCGAAGTGTGAAACAAGAGGGGTACAGCGTGCTATGGCGAGGTTTGGGAACTGCTGTTGCCCGAGCATTTGTAGTGAATGGGGCTATATTCACTGCCTATGAAACTGCCTTGAGGTTCTTTTTCAGCAACAACAACAATAATCACGCAAACATTGAGACTGAAAATACATTCTGATACAGAACTAGTCATTGAGGTGTATCACCTCATTAGTTTATTCGATCTGGTACTTAATAGATGAAAACAGGTTAAAAGTGCATCTTGCTCAAAAAGACAGCATTAAAGAAAGAGCTACTGGATGTGCGACGAAAGCAAGATGAAACGTTTAAGCATGCTTCAGTTTCTATTAGAGGGACTTTGGATCTAATCCATTCAAAGCAGAAGTAGATCTTCAGTTGACAGTTTGTTACAAAGAAACAAACACATAAAGCAAGTATGATTCTTGGCACCTTTGACAATGTGTCTACTTGTGCCATTCTATTCATTGTAGCAATTATATGGTTTATAGCCTAAATGGAATTGAAATTGGATTTGGTTACTTATGGTTTCCCCTACTTGAAGAATTAACCCAAATAGCAGCCCACCTAATCTCTTAAACTGAAAATAGCTAGCGGGTGTATAATATATGTATAATTTATGTATCATATATGTATAATTGTGTATAGTCAATGTTAAGCTATGTATACTGGCTAGAAAAAGGTAAACATTGAATCTGATCAGCTATATCTACTTTCTTTACCCATGACAAAGCCTCAGTCCCAAATGGTTTATAGCTTGGGCTTCTCAGGAAGTTAAAAGGAATGCATGTTGATCAGTTTAGAGAATGATAGTGAACATCATGATTAAGAAGATTTATTACAGAACCAACTTGGATGTAATGAGGCTTCAAGGTCCTCTATGTTTTTTTTTTCTTTTGCCATATCATATGCTTAATATCCACCTTGTTGGTTTACTTTTTCGGTGAACAACAATATGTCTCAGTCTCAAACAATCGGCTATATGAATCCTTACTGACCATGTTTCTTCATTTAAAATCATATCAGGTGGTTACTTTATCTATAGCAAAACATATAATGTCATGCATTAGAATGGTAGAATGAAAATTGGAGAGAGGATTCTTTTTTATGGCAGAGAAATGAGGTAGAACAGCTTCAAGGACAGAAATGTGTTCCTATTCTCTTCACGGAATATAGTACAATCAATAATCACTCTGCTACATTACACTTAATAGAGCAAATTCCATCCAAAATATAAATAATGAATTGTACTCCTAATGTCACATAACTCACTTAAAGAAACTTGCTCAACAAATATAGATCCAAGGATTTTCTGAAATTATTCAATATAGGAATCCATGGGAATTGAACAGACAATGAAGAAGTTGGCTAGCTTGGAAAATTGCACTGGCGTACAAAGAGACACACAGTCGACGAAAAATCCAGTAATTTCTAGGGCTCAATAGGACCAAGACTTCGCATTGAACTGTTGATATTGATGAATGGCTGTGGAAGTGAGAACTCATTATACATGTCCATGAAAAAACTGTCAACAATATCAAGGTAAAATGGACAGTTTAGGTGAGAGTAATAGTGTAGCACTTCTTGTATGTCCAGCATTTGATTCAAGTCTTCCTCATCCATCAAATCTAATTCCTTCATCTTCTGTGCTAAAATCTGACCTTTACTTGTGTTTTTAAAGAATGCATCTCCTATTTTTTCTTCATTGAATGTTGCTCTTCTCTTCTCTTCTTTTCTCATTCTTTCTTGGTTTTCCATACTGTTCTCTACTGATTCTTCACAAATGCTGTTTCTCTCTAGAACCTCATTTTGGTCACCATGTTCCCACTGTTGAGAGAAGTCTCTGTAGAAATCATCCAACTCTTGAATTATGCTGTTTGGAATTCGATTGCTGCCAGAGAAGAAGGGATTGAAGTGACAAACTTTAGGCAACTTATGTTGACCTTTAAAGAGAAATGACTTGAGATTATGTAGAGTTTTCAGGAAGAGGTTCTTGGTCTTATGGAAGGATTTCTTAAGTTGCATTTGTGGCTTTACTGTCTTGCTGTACAACTCCCCCATGTGGCTTTCACTATCTTCTTAGCTAGTGATAATACAACTTGTATTCCTCCTTAAATTTTAGATGCCTAAATGGTTTTTAACATGTACTAATGAAAGAGATGGGGACAGGTGGGCTCGAGTTTCTTATCATAACAAGACGAAAAGCCAAAATGAAATTCTAAGGGACATTCTGCTCTTTTTCTTCTTGACTTCCTTGCTTTAGTTGTGCTTCCCAATATATCTTTCTGTTTTATCATGGTGGTGTCGGAGCCAGATTGCACAATTCAACTTGTCTACTTAGGTACGTGCTACCTTACCAGTAAAGATATCGAGTAACTCTGGGCACTAAGATTTAACCAGATTAATTATAAGAAATCACCTAGTGATTTTTTTGTCTGCTGGAATTCAAACCCTAATCTCTTAAGGCCTCTTCCTATTAGTATATCTTTTCTATGACCATGATCATTCTTTTGACTGTCATGCTGTTTAAAGTGTCGCAGCATTCATTATGAAGAAAAAGGGAAAGTTTAGCAGTGAGTTGGTAGATGCTTAAAGTGATTAGTACATATAATTAAGCAGCACCTAAATTATACTCATGCAGTTTTAGACCACTGGGACCCCAAGTAATAATTGAAGCAAGGCCAGAATTTGCCTTTAATCGAGTACGAATTACTGTTTGTATCAATTGTGTCAAGTGCCTTCAAGTGGAGAGCTGGTTTTTTGGGGCCAAAACTATAAAACATTGGAAATAGTGTTGGTTGGAAAAGATAAGGGGCCAAAACTGATCGAAATGGGTGAGGAACTTAAGCTCGTTTCAGTATATCTGGGGAATGAAGCCTTTTTTCTACAGTTAACAATTTGACATGCTACTTTATTGTCCAGCAGTGATCACAACAATAAATTTGTCAAACCTGCCCTTCTCTCAAAATTTTTGAGAAAAAACTTCAGCACATGTCTGAGTCACAACTCACAACTACAGCGGGAATAGCTTGTTTCATACTGCAGGTAACAAAGTTGAATCCAAATTTGTGACAATTTAACTCCGTGCATCGAGGCCATAGGGAATTCAGTAATACATATACAACAATCATGAGATAAAATGAAAATGATTTGGCAGATTAATTCAATATTTTTAATTTATCATTGCTGTACATCCAACAATTATTGCATCAATATAGTTGATACAAAAAGGTCCATCCCTTTATAAACTGATAACCTAATAACAAGAACTTGTGCCTCAATACATTACTTCCTGAGGTCCGCAAATTTGTCCACGACCTCTTACTCTTTGTCCTCTTTGCCTTTGTGGAACTTGAAGAATTGATGCAGCAGTTTGTGGAGTTCTCCGTAATTCTTCGTTGCAGAAACAAGACGGCTTTTAATCCACTGCGGGAGCTTGTTGGTTGAGTGGGAGGAGCTTCTTTCAGAAGAATCAAATGTATAGCGTGTATCAACTAACAGGATAGCAGCATAGTCATTAATATGCCGAATTGCTCTACCTACAGCAGACGATTAAAAAGCACTGCAATATCAAGATCCAAAAAAAACATATGATAATGATAAAGACCATTAAAACTGGTAATTCAGTACATAATATCAGACATTAAATTATACTTAAGGATCAAGATANCTTTCATGCAAAGATTCTCATAATACTGCTTCCCTCTATGCTTGCAGCTTTTTAGGATGTCAAGTCCAGCTTGAGCATCTCCACTATACCAGCTCCTTGGAGCCTGGAATTTGGTGTTCTTACCACTAGCAGTATCAAATCCTTCAATATGCTTGATCCTCTCCATCAACTCGATGTCGGCTGGACTAGGATAGGGCAATCCAACCATGACTATGCATCGACCCATCCCATCGCTAAAGTTGATACCTTCTGATACTTTCCCACCCACAATAGCAAGGAGAATTGCACCGTTGCGTGATACAGTGTCCTGCTTAGAACTGTTATGGGACAGTGCATCAATTGTTTCCTTGTATTCCTTCAAAACAGTTTCCACATCTGTACTTTTTCTAGGCTCTCTAAATATGCGCTTCCGTTTCATAATTCTTCCAATGATGCCCGACTCCTTCCATGTATCATATACCTGGCCTTCATAGTCAAATGATGAGAAGAAAATAACCATGCCTTCAGGAACAAGATTTACCAAATTAGAGACCAAAAGCCCTAATTCTTGTATCTGCAATAATACAGTTTCATGAGTATGTTCAGACTGAGTACTTTATTTCACGGTAATGTTCATAACTGAATCTCAAAGCAATAACTGCTGTTTAAATTCCAATATCCATGTAGCCCATTCATAGGCAATAGGAGAATTCAGTTGCAGAATTCTTGACTTAAATCAAGCATATGTGAAGGATGATAATGCATACCGTGACTGAAGAGCTTCTGGCACTGTAACTAAAATCAAAGGAGTGGCGAGAAGGCCCCTGAGAAACAACAATTGGTAGAATATTTTCAGATGGGATGATATGACCACAGGAAAAGAAATGCAACTGATCCGGCGGCGACCAAGGAAACAGGCGTTCTTTTGTTTCCTCTATGGGTTGCAAAGTCCCACCAGCCAATATGACGGCATGAGCTTGATTCAAGATCTGCAAGTAGTAGTGCACAATCAAATGGTTTTCCATAAGCACCTTTTTGAGAAGATTTAGATATGCAAAAATATGAAGTTTCTAGCAAACCTCAGAAAATATCCTTTCTCCCGTGAGCATGACATATTTCAAATACCCTCCTTGTTGCCTGGAGCATTTTGGCCTTGTCTTTGATATTATTATTCTTCCATCTCCATCTCTATTTGTTAGTGACAGTAATACGTTAACTAATGCTCGGAAACCAGATAATGCACTTTCATCATGACTGCTTTGGTCGTCCATTTTCAATGCTGAAACTTCTTCTGAGAGAGCTAATTTATGTCCATATCCACATACCTGAGATCCCACAGATCTTCAAAACTAAATGATATTAAAGAGGGATAGAGAGAGATAGATGAATAACCAGTAAAGAGTAAAAAATGATCTACCTTGTGAATTATATTGCTTTCTTCTATATATCGCAAGAGCTTAAACAGGTTTATGTTGTCAATATTGTGGGCAAATAGGAACTCGTTTATGGCCATGGATGAATCAAAGCCACTTTTACTTCCCTCAGCATTACAAACGGGGTCAAAGTTGCTTTGACAATTCTCATTACCCAAAGCTTGTAGAAAAGCCCGAGTAAGGACCATGATTATTTGGATATACCTTCGGTTGCCTGGCCCTAACAGATTGCGAAACCGTACGAAGTAACTCTCCAAGTGAGAATGCACAAGTTCCAACTGGAAAACAGCAGATCAGTTAATTGGATGCTTCTTCAAGTGAAATACTTGGATGTAAAACACAGAGAAAAGAGTATTAAGTGCTAGGCAAATGGGATGGTTCAGAGTGTCTGATGGTAATGTTTAAAAATATTTCTTACCTGTACAAATGTAATTTTTGAGTCGTACATGCTGACGAGGGAATCAGCTAAATTATGAGCTTCATCTATGATAACAACACTATCTTTTAAACTTAAACCAAGAGATTCACGTGATGATTTTGAAAGAAGAGATTGATAAGGAAGAACCACAAGATCTGCTGTGTGTACCAGGCTTCTTGAGCCATAGTAAGGGCAAGTTTTCAAGTCACGTCCAATCTGAACAAGATCCTCAATATCCATAGGCCCTTGTTGAGAAACCTCACTTTGGAATTCTTTTCCTCTTTTGTGATTTCTATGCATTGGGCAACCTGAGGAACTCTTGGACCTCCTCGCTCTGCCACCAGCTCCTATGTCCTGCATATAAACTTTGCAAATGAAGTTAAGAAGTTCCAATTTGGAGCATAATAGTACTTATCATAAGCTGAACCTAAGCAAATACATAGTCCATGACTCCTAAGTAATAAGTCAAGTGATCGTATAAATATTATGTCAAAGATATTGTAACACTGATTCAACTGGAACATGTTTCTGAGAAGCATTGGCATTGTAATCGTCAGGGAACGTCCAACTGTAGCATAATTTCAAAAAAAAAATTAAAAGGTTTTTAACTTCATGTTATAACCAATTTAAACTGGGAAAAGTATGTTGAGAAGAAATATACTCTCTAGTACTACCAGAATAAAGATTTAAATCAGCTTACGTCAGAGATGACATAAGACAGCTTACTTAACATAGAACAGCTTCCTATCAACACATTTATACACTTTATCAGGTAAGGCATCTATACATTAACAAGGACACTCTCGTGTCAATGGAAACAGGTTGAGGGTCCAGCTAGTACCTTGGTTTTAGATATTTTAGAATTTTCTATCTTCCTACTTTTCTGAAGCTCCAAACATCTCTCATTTATCTGAGTGGAGCTGCCTAGCTTCAACACCTCTGAAATGAAAACAATAGATCCATGAAATATTTTTCACAAAACTTCAACAAGATTGCAACTTTTTACTTACAAAAGAACAACAAGGTCGAAAGGCAAACTATCTTGAGTACCTTGATTAATGCAGAAATTCTTCCTAGACCCTAAGCATACAACCTTCACTTCAGCTGCAAATTTAGTCTTCCTTAACTCCTTTACAAATTGTGAAAGTTGTGAATGTGTCCGGCTGCAAAAGTAAATCTTAGGTCTAGCCTCTTCCTCCTCATCTTCCATGCTATCTTCGTCCTTTTCTTCCTCACTCGAGGAATTAACCAAAACCCCACCACCCTTCCTTTTAGATTGTCCTCCATTTTCATCGTCACTCTCATACTCTTCAACCAAAAACTCCTCTTCAACCAAAAACTCCTCTTCATCCATTCCCTCAACCTCATGTTTTGCCATTAAATTGTTTACCTTTTCGATCTCAGTATCTTCCTCCTTCCCTCCCCCGTTAGTAATTAAATCTCTGACAACTTCTCTTTTCCCCTTCCTATCAAATCTTTTGTCGAATCCCAATTGCTTCTTTTTCTTTGTCTTCTTCTCGGGCGATTTGGTATCTTTATTAATGACAAAGTTCCTCATCCAATCTGGTTCATCTTCAGCCCCCAAATAATCTTCTTGTTTCCCGCTTAAATTTGAAGGAGACTCCCATTGTGTTTTCTGCTGTTGCTTTCTATCAAGAAGCCATTGAAGGGCACTACAAATTATACTGAGCGTTTTACCAGTCCCTGAATAAATTTTCCAGAACCCCAACTAAGTAATCATGAGAAAAGAAAAGAAAAGAATTTAAATTGCTAGAGACATAGGTGTTGAAGTGTGTGAACATCTAATCTAAAGGCTCAACCTATTAGAGTTGCGAGCTTATATTTTTAATGAGATAAGAAAGTGGAAATTATTGACAATGGATGGCAGTGAGACTCGAACTCAAGATCTCTTTCTGCTCTAATATCATGTTAAATCGTGTGCTCATTTAAAAGCTTAACTTGTTAGAGCACTTTTATTTACTTAATCAATGATGAAAAATATAATTGCATCTACTACTACTACTTTTTGTTAGTGGGTACAATTGCAGTAATACAACTATGAACAGATATACAGTATAGCTGTGAATATATATGGAAAAAATAGTGAAAGATATGTACCAGTGGGGCTTTCTAGCATGGCAACACCGCCTTTAGTGAGGGAATGGTAAAGGGAGTTCATGAAATCTAGCTGAATAGAGTAGGGTTCGTAGGGAAATGCCGGAAATTCTCTTCTCTCTTCCATCTCTGATCAAAAGATTCGCCTTTTCTTCCCCAATTTGAGGTTCAAGGGATTAGGGTTCTTTTTTTCTTTTTTTTCACTGACTCAGTGCTCCGCATTTCCTTTAATTTAAGCGTGCGCGCATTTGTTAGCAGATGCTTTTCCCGCGCTTAGCTGTGCTCTGGATATCTTTTTTCCTCTCTTTTTTCCCGGTATACGCAGAGTTGATATTATGTATTTTTATACAAATTTTTCTCAACTTGAACATGATATATATTCACAACTTTAAATCACTTAGACATGATAAATTTAGATGTTTTTACGTAAACACCAAGTATGAGTAAAAAGAATACATGTGCCGTTTATTTTATTTTTTAATCTCATTCTAGCAATCATAATGCAAAGATAATATAATTTAGAAAAGAAAAAAAGCATTTCTCTTTTAAGTTTTACTTTTTGCGATAGCCTGAATGAGGAAAGAGAAAAGTTGAGAGTGTTTGGAGATCTCAACATGCACTTAATTGAGAGTGTTTGGAGATCTCAACATTTCTTTAAGGGGAGGTTTTATGCTTACATTATAAACAAAATACCATATTCCCCGTAGTGAAGAGTTGTTCTTTCAAGCTTCTTAAATTGATTTCACTTATTTGGTCCTAAATTTCATTTTCTTTGCAACCTTATCTATTTAGCATTCTTTGCGATCCATATTGGGTATTTCTATTTATCTCCACGATTTGTATTAAGTTGCACCACATATTCTTAGAACTACGTATAAATTTAACTCTATCCGTTTTTCGGGTAAACAGTTTGGCGCCCACCGTGGGGCTAAGGATAACAGTGGTTATTTGATACGAATCTGAAAAAACACGCCATTGTGTTTTGCGCTTGTTTCCGAAAATATCTTGAATTTCGGATTAACTACGACTAACCATCAATCAAATGGTTTCACCAATCGACAACGGGGCCGGTCTTCAAGACGAAAACAACAACTTGACACCCAGTACTGAAAGACCACTTATAAACGACGTTGGAGCTCGAATCGGAGTGCCAATAGATATCAATTTGCATGTAGCCATTGAAGCGAACCTACATGCTGAACCCGAGAATAGCATCCATTGTGGCACTCGGTCTGCAGCTCGAGATACCCATAATGTCGAGGAAAACGGCGTTAGCTTGCGTATGATTTTCGAAATGTTGCAAGCCCAACAGGCAGCAATAGCTCAGTTGCAGAGTCAAATCCAGCTACAAAGCAGGCCGGAGCCCAATCCATCTTGAGAAATTACCCACAGAACGGAGCCAGCCATAGTGAAGTCAAATGAGCAAGAATCGGGGACTACACCCGAAATTACTAAATTGCTCGAGGAACTCATAAAGCAAGTTGAAGCCAACGATAAAAAATAGAAACTTATAACTCTAGGGTCGATCAGATCCCGGGAGCTCCACCAATGATAAAAGGGTTGGATTCGAAAAAATGCGTGCAAAAACCTTTCCCTCGAGTGCAGCCCCGAAACCAATCCCCAAAAAATTCCGTATGCCCGAAATTTCCAAATATAACGAAACGACCGATCCCAACGAGCACGTCACTTCTTACACATGTGCCATCAAGGGCAATGATTTAGAAGACGGTGAAATCAAATCTGTGTTGATAAAAATATTCGGAGAGACCCTCTAGAAGGGGGCAATGATTTGGTATCACAACCTACCACCAAATTACATCGACTCGTTCGCCATGTTAGCAGATTCTTTTGTGAAAGCACATGCGGCGCCATAAAAGTCGCAACAAGGAAATCGGACCTCTTCAAGGTAAGACAAAAGGATAACGAGATGCTGAGGGAGTTTGTATCTCGTTTTCAAATGGAACGAATGGACTTGCCACCAGTCACAGACGATTGGGTTGTTCAGGCTTTCACTCAAGGTTTGAACGAATGAAGTTCGACGACTTCACGGCGATTAAAGCATAACTGATCGAATACCTGGCCATCACATGAGCCGAAGTGCACAATCGGTACCAATAAAAAATTATGGTCGAAGATGATCAATTGGGGTCTGAACCCATTGTTCGAAGGGATACTAATCGAGAACGAGGTCCGATCGGGGATCGATACCAACCGTACAACGGAAGCCACAGAGTCAGTGAATCGAGACATAACCTCAGGCAAAATAACAAAAGAAGTGATCGAGGTCAAGGGTCCCGGGGCCTGATGAACAGAAGTAGGTTCGATAGGCCTGCCGGATCTAAGGAAGCACCTCGGTTATCGGAATATAACTTCAGCATTGATGCATCCGCTATCGTTTCGGCTATCGGACGCATCAAAGACACTAAATGGCCTCGACCCATGCAGACCGATCTTGCCCAGAGGAATCCCAATCAAATGTGCGAATACCATGGCACCCATGGCCACATAACGGAAGATTGTAGGCAACTAAGAGAGGAAGTAGCCCGGTTATTCAACAAAGGGCACCTTCGAGAATTTTTTGAGCGATAGGGCAAAGAACCATTTTAAAAACAGGGATTTCGGCAAGCAAAACGAACAAGAAGAACCGCAGCACGTCATTCACATGATCATCGACGGCGCCGATACCCCTCGGGGACCGGTGTTTAAACGCACTAAGACATCGATTGTGAGAGAAAAACAATCTCGAACTCAAGATTACACACCCATAGGAACTTTGTCCTTTAATGATGAAGATGCAGAAGGAGTCATACAACCTCATAACGATGTACTGGTAATATCTGTACTCATGAATAAAACTAAAGTTAAGCGTGTGTTGATTGATCCAGGTAGCTCGGCCAACATCATCAGATTGAAAGTTGTAGAACAGCTCAGCCTGCAAGACCAGATTATACCCGCAACCCTGGTTCTAAATGGATTCAATATGGCATGTGAAACCACCAAAGGCGAGATAATTCTACCAATAAACGTGGTCGGAACCATCCAGGAAACGAAGTTCCATGTGATCGAAGGCGACATGAGATACAACGCCCTTTTCGGAAGGCCATGGATCCACAACATGAGAGCTGTACCTTCGACCCTACACCAGGTCCTCAAATTCCCAACATCGAGAGGAGTCAAAACAGTGTACGGAGAACAACCAACCGCAAGAGAAATGTTCGCCGTCGAGGAAGTGAAACCGATATCCTCGCCTTCGCCAGTAAAGGGATCGGGCTCAGAAGGGGAACGAGATACCAAATAGCAATCACAGACATCGGCTTTGACCCAACCAGATAACCAGAAGATCGAAGAAGATGATGATCAGAGGATCCCTCGACCCTTCGTGATTCCCAATGACTCTGAAGCCACCGAATCAACGATTGAGGAACTGGAGCAAGTCACACTAATCGAACACTGGCTCGAACTGAAGGTATACCTGGGAACGAGGTTGAGCCTCGAACTCAGGAAGAAACTTATTCAGTTTCTTATCAATAACATTGATTGCTTTGCCTGGTCCCATTTAGATATAACAGGGATCCCATCGGACATAACGACGCATCGGCTAAGCTTGGACCCTAGGTTCAGANAACATTGATTGTTTTGCCTGGTCCCATTTAGATATAACAGGGATCCCACCGGACATAACGACGCATCGGCTAAGCTTGGACCCTAGGTTCAGACCGGTGAAGCAAAAAAGAAGACCCCAGTCCGAGGTAAAACACGCATTCATAAAGGACGAAGTAACCAAACTTCTCAAGATAGGGTCCATTCGGGATGTGAAATACCCCGAATGGTTAGCCAATGTAGTTGTAGTGCCTAAAAAGGGAACAAACTTAGAATGTGTGTGGACTATAAGGATTCGAACAAAGCATGCCCCAAAGATTCTTTTTCGCTGCCCAACATCGATCGCATGATCGATGCCACGGCCGGCCACGAGATCCTCACTTTTCTTGATGCCTATTTTGGGTATAATCAAATCCAGATGAACCCGGAGGACCAGGAAAAGACTTTATTTGTCACCAAATATGGAACATATTGTTATAATGTGATGCCCTTCGGGCTAAAAATGCAGGGGCTACTTACTAACGCCTA